TTCAGCTCTTTCCACCCACAGGCTTGTCGTTGAACCCACACCTCTCCCTGGCTCACTCGCTCTCGCTATATACTACTTTCTTAATGGCTAGAATGGTACCAGTCCAAGCAGGTTTATAAAGACCTATTTATATCACAAATAACACACTGAAATATATTTAAAGAAAAAGTAAATGCAACTTTGTACGATTTATTGTGTAAATCTTTATGAAATTTCTATGACTAGCAATGCTCTAATTACTCAATATAACAAATGCTGGGTAAAGGGACAGCTCTTCTGAGTACTAGACCTGATGGGGAACAGAGGAGGAAAAAGAAAAATGTGATTGGTTTTGCTAAATCTAATTTTCAGTTAAGAATAAAAGTCACCTCAAGGCCTTACCTTGACTCTTCTTTGTTTACTGACATTTTATCAAAAGGCTTGGTACTTGCACCAGAACCTTTTGCCAGAAAGATCCAACAAACAGTCCCACAGGGGTTAAAAAGCTCTTGTGCAACTTTTGGCTGTGACTTGGGCCAGTAATTGGAGCATGGTGCCCACTGTGGGCAAGAAAACTGCAAACAACTCGGTATTTATTCCTAATAATGTTTATCACATGTAGTGCAACCGAGACAGTTTTGACTTGCAGACAAATTTTGGAATACAGTAGGTGACATCGTATTATAAAACCGAACACCACGGATCACCACGGCTCTGAGCAGCTGTTTGAAATGCTGCAGTGAGTTTGTCACGACTCGAGGTGCCAAGGGCAGCTACTGCAGAAACTCGTCTCACACTTATGTTTTCTGCAGCTCAGTTTACACGAGATGGTGTGTTTTCTGCCCCTATAGGCTGCTTTGTTTCTGGTCTGTTCCTGGAAGGAGCAGACTGGGACGCCGAGCACGGCTGCCTCACCAAGAGCAAGCCCGGCGTCCTGGTGGTGGAGTTACCCATCCTGAAGATAATCCCCACGGAGGCGCACAGGCTCCGACTCCAGGTACTGCTCCTTCGGGAACACACATTAGCTCATTAACTTCCCTCTGGTGTCACCTCTCAGCAGCTGGCAGCCGGATTTTATCCTTAGCACTGGTGTATAAAGTACACAGTTTAACACTTCTTATGTCAACCGGCACGGAAGCTTTTCCTTTCTAAGGGTGACACTCAAGGGGGTTCATACATTTGTTGCCTTTTTTCCATTTAGACAGTATGGAACCAGCCTGGGATACTCTTACAATCCCACTACTCTTTTCATCATTTCCCATTACCAGTTAATGACATAAAGGATGTTTGCATTTTCTGGGTACCCAGTTATTTAAGACTTGTAACAAAAAAGTGAATTTCTGAACAGTCATCTCTCCTAGAGGCCCTTCTTGTTTCCAGTGTCATGTGGTACTTCAAGCACTCCTCACTGTCCTTTCCTCCATGCTCTTTCAGAATACCCTCCGGACACCGGTGTACACAACCTCCCTGAGAAGGAACGCGATGGGAGTTGGCCTTGTTTTTGAAGCTGATCTGTACACGACAAAGCACATCTCCCACTGGGTCCTTCAAGGCGTTTGTCTCACCTTGAATGCAGACTGACAGGCTGAAGTTGGCACTAGATTCTTCCCATGGAATCCAACCCTTTGGAGGGGGGGTGGGCAGGGATCACACTAGGCAAAACTCACACTGTGGGTGGTGTAAGCGTTCTCTTGGGCACACCTGACTTTTTAAATAGTGTGATACAACGTAGCTGGTACTATCAATAAACACATAAGAGGAGAAAAGTGTTTTTCATAATTTGCATTTTGGTTCAGAAAGGCTCCAGCTGGTCTGTGTACACAAAAGAGGCAAGGAGTTAGTCTGACACACACAAAGACTGAGGTTTGCCTGGATGGTTGTAAGAAATGTTTTTAATTGCCCAAAGCATCGCTTCTGCACCGCGAAGCGGTGCCTTCCATCATCCTTGAACAAGTGGCAGGGTAGATCAGTCATACAACAGATCGCCATCAAAATATGGCAACAACCACCACCAAAAAAAATCCAAACCCACTGCTGGTTAATGCCGTACACTTTTTAAAAGAGTAAAACCACAGAATAACAAACTTCTTTTAACCAACTGTTTTCCAGCTCTTCCCTATCCCTCCCCACCAGTCCCAAAACAAATCCTACCACACAATCGGCAAGGCGTGACGCTGCGGAGTCGTTCGTGGGCTTCAGAAGAGCAAGTGACTGGGCGGTGAGGGCACACAGGGCAGGGCACGGGGGCCCTAGGGCCAGGGGCCAGGCAGACCCTCCGACTGGGAACAACCTGCTGCAAGTTGTCATGCTGCACAGGGAAGGTAGCAGTACCGCAGTCAGGAAGAACGGCTTTTGTCATCCTGCCAGTGCCTTTGTGGGGGAAGCTGACAGCGATCCAAGGCTCCAGAGGGAGACACACACCAACACACAGCTGCAGAAGAAGCTTAAGAGGGGCAGACTACAGCTGGCAAGGGGAAGGAAGGAAAGAGGGCAGGCAGGGATCCTTCATCAGCTTTCACAGAGATTACGTGTTCCAAGTTTTTGAAGGCACATCATAAGCTTAGCAGCATTTGGGAGCCATTGTTTCTTGCTGGTCCTACTCAGAGGTTGCAGACAAGAGTGAAGCAGAGGTGAGCTGGAGGTGCGGATCAGAATTTAAGAAAAATGGTCAAATTTGTGCTCCTTTCCCAAAAATTACATACTCTTAGAGCTCTCAGTATGCCTTTCTTTCCTAGGAACAAAAATAACAATAAAAAAGTAATCAAGTAGTCTAACAGATGTAGGATCTCCCTGTTGCTTACTAGAGAGGAGTAGGGGAACCAGGGCAAGTGCAAGGCAAGTTCATCCCAATCCACAAGGATCAAAGTCAAGGGTGCCAGGCTCTCCTCCTGTATGGACTGGTTACATCAGTTAAATTTAAAAAACTAAATACACATTCTAGAGGGACAGCTCAGGTTTCTAAGCTGGCAGAAGCCGGCACTGTCTGACGATACTTAGAACAAGAGTAAGGTTTTTCAGGAAACAAAAATAATCCCTTTACAAAAAGTGCAGATTAGAGCATAAAGACCCATTTCCCTATTGGACAGCCAGTTACATTTTCTCCCTGGAAAAAGAGCTCTGAGCCAGTATGGAAGGTGCTACAAGTGCAGTGTACTGACTAGTGTAAAATGTCTAATGGAGCCACTCAATCTAAAAAAAAAGGACAATCCCAAACAACCCCATGTTCATACTCTTTCTGTGAGGATCATTAACCCTTTTAAAGAGTGCTTTATCTCCCCTCCCCATTTTTTACTTAAACAAAGCCATAAACCAAAGTGTTTAGGATTAATCAAGTAATGCTTGCTGGGACCCTCAGGATTGTGAGAAACTATGAACAATTTCCGGTTGCGAGCATGTGCACGTGAAGGAAAAGCTGCCCTTCGTTCATTTTACCGTGGATGTACATCTGCCTTCTCTTCAGAGTCATGGTGAGAACGGCCTGGTCACGGAGGGTTGTGCACGGTGCGCTCATGTACACGGTGAAGACAAAAGAGCTGCCGCTGGGTCACGTGTTGGCAGCCAGGAACTGCTGCTGCAGGGTTAGATTGAGTTTGTTGTCACTAATATCGATCAATAACGCAGCCTGTGCCTTTGTCCACACGTGTAGTTACCATAATGGAGCAGTGCTCAGAAGCAAGCAGTCAGGTACCCCTGATTTGGCCACAGCATTTAGTAGTTACAGACCTTGCCAGCTGAACACAGTCAGAATTAGGTTTCCTTAGAGGAGCGTAATCTATTAAGGATGGATCTGGAAGAAGTTTGGCATGCATGGGGCATCAAAAGAAACTTTACTGCAGGTGCTAATTATCCTACAGGATCACAGTGCATGAACAGCAAGAGAGTAGAGCTTTTCAGTGATTTCACTCAAACAGTTCTGTCTGTCCCTGAGTGCTTTCTGACCACTTTGCTTCCGTGGACCTGATCCACTGCCAGCGTTTCCACCTCCGGCTGAGGCTGGGGTGGCGTGACATGGTGGATGCGATGCGCCACCCCAATGTGGGCCTTGTGCGGCTTCTCTCGGGCCGGGCTGTGCGACTCACCGGACGCACGATCTGAAGCAATGGGCGGAATAACTAAGGGCCTCTCCTTAATAAGATGCACCTCTGCCGTTTCCCTGGCCAACAGAAACGGAGTGGGATCAGGCATGGCGTCCACGGGCTCTCTTAGCAGCAGCTTCCGGCTCTCCGATCCTATTCTGTAGGCCTCTTCGAACTCGGGGTTGAGCGGCGTCGACAGACTCTTCTTCATTCTGCGCCGTGGAGTCTCCGGCAGTTTGTCTTTGGGAGGAGACGGCTTGTAGTTGGACAACACGGGACTGCCAGACGGGGCCCCCTCCGAAGTCCCACTTGAACTCATCAGCTTCTTCTTGGTAGCATGTAGCTGAGAAGTCAAATAAGCAATAGTGCTCGCTCGCTGCTCTAGTTCGCTCGACAACATGTTGAGCTTATGGCTTTTCATTTTTAACTCTTCCAAATACTTCTTCTCCCTTTCTTTAATAGTGTTCTCCAGCACCATTATCATCGCATTCTTTTGTTCAAGTTCTTTCAGTAAATCATTATTTTCAGCCTCTTTGACTTTCAGCTGAGCTTCAAGATCTTCACACTTTCTTTTTAGTTCATCACTTTTTGAACTACCATTTCCTAGAACAGGAAAAGCAGAAGTGTTTTGAGTTAGCACTGGCCGCAAAGTAAAACAGTGCAACAGGGTTCCTTTTGCCATCCCAAAGCTGTAAGAGAAATCCCAAAGACTAAACTTCCGCTAATGTTCTTAAAATTACTTCATCTTCAGAAGCATGGGACAGCTTTTAAGGAAATGCTGATGAGCCAGTGCCACTCACCCTGGTTTAATGGTGCTCATACCAAGCAGAGATGCTCCACATGTTCTGGGGAACAGGGATTACAGAAACTGTGCTTGCTGAACTTGCTCAAAACTGGAGCCATTCTGCAAATCCTCTGGTTATTAAGAGGAACTTCTCCCACTGCAAATGCCAGACTGGCTGGAAAGAGGGATGGAGCTGCTGTCAGAGCTCTCCAGAAGGCATGCCCAGGCTTTACCTTCACCCCTCCATGGGCAGCTGAAGCCTGTGGCTCACTAAGGCAGGGGCACACCTCTTCACCGAGGCTTTGCTGCTGTAGAAGTCTCTGTGGGCATGACGTACCCAGGCCTGGCTGCCTTCTCTTCACAAGAGTGACACATCACCCCCTAATACTCTAGGGGTTCTTGCACCGCTGAGGAGACACTGCCTGGAACGGGCAGGCTGACCCATCTCAGCACCCCTGCCCTCATGCCACAGGGGGTGTGGGGTGATTCTGTCACTCTTCCCTTGGTTATTACAGCTGGACAGCTTCCCCGCTGTTTGGCAGAGACCAGCAGCCTGAGTTTCTCCAGTAACAAGCACCCTATGTCACAGCGCTATCCACTATAAAGTGTTAGGTCTTGTGCCCTCCAAGTGTCTGAGCTTGGCACAGCATCAACACAGTGGCATCACTGATGCGTCACCTACTCTGCGCACGCTGTGACCAGAAGCTTCTGAGCAACATTGCAATATCAAGAAATAACACTGAGCACATGCAAAGCTGCTCTGTTGCTTTGCGAAATTTGCCCACGTTCTCTCCTATCTGCAATCCGTGTCCTGTCCCACACTCCTTGATCCGGGAGGTTACTCCCAGGGAGTATTTTATTCCTGTGCTTCGCCTGTTGATAACATCATACATCTGAAGTAACTGGCATCTAGCATATATAAAAAAATATAAATAAATAAAAGCTTTGTGGTGTAATTACAGTACCAGATGAGTTCTAATAATAGTCTCACTCTTTTGCCCCTAAAATCCATGTTCCCTTTTCCCGTACAGCACACAGGGAAATGATTGTTTTAGTAAGAGAGAGGAGTCAGCAGTTCTACTCCTGGCTCTTGCACAGATTTCCTGTGTGACCTTGGTAAAGAACTTGTGACGTTTACTTCATAAATAACAGTAAGTCTGGAAAGCAGAAAACTACTCTTACACCTTTAGAATTTATAAAGTCAACATCCCAGGTGCAAAGTCCTCTCAGGAAGAAATACAAACATTGAAAAAGATGAGGAAGTTTAGCATGAACATTAAAAGAAGAATGCTATGTATTCCTTACCTGACAAGTCTGAACTCTTTACAGTCAGCTCATAGGTTAAATCTGAGGAAAAAAGTTGTTTATTTTTGTTAGAACAACATCATCTACCCCATACCCCACCTGGTGAGCACGTTTACAATGGTGCACTGCAGTAAAATTATAACTAACTCTTCCCTCCACCGGAAGCAATAATGAGAGATCCACTGCCAATTACTAAATCTGTAAAACAACCAAACTATCTGGTGACACATTGCTTTTTTTTTTTAAATAAAAAAAGAAAAATCTTTGCTTAATGGTGACACAGTTGTGCCCCAAGACAGGTGCTGATCACCCTAAGCACACCGTGATGGTGGACTTTGTTGCTGAGGTTGCACTGCTGATGTGGGAAGCAGTCACTCCATCCTTGTGAGCAGAATGAAGCACCGAACCAGCACCGGCACCCTTCGCGGCTACCTGTGCAGTGCTGCTGCAGGCGGCGGATCTCGGCGTGCAGGCCTTTCAGCGTGCTGGCATGTTCTCGCTGCAGAAACAGCAGGTTCTTCTGGGCACTCTGCAGCTGGTTCTCCAGGTTTGACGTTGCCATCCTGACGTGCCGTCGCCCTGCCAGTGGACAGACACAGAACGCTAACAGTGAGTTATCTTGCACGTACAAAGATCCTCACTCTGCAGCCAGGATCAGCAGTAATATCTGAATCCCACTATTAATGCATTGATATGCAATCAAGCAAATGCCGCAAAAGGTTGTTCTGTTTCATGACTATTTCCATTAGGAGTGCTCCAGGTTCACAGAAAGGCTAATTACTCTAGGCCAGAGCAGCGTAGGGAACTCATTTGTTTGGAGTTAACACATTTAAAGGATTAACGTCAGACAGACTAAGTCACTAATCCCGTTACAAGATAAAAGTGGAGTTCTGGGAAATGGGCTAGTGTGTCCCTCTGCCTTGTCAAGGGTTTTCCACTCACCGCCAGGGGTACGGGCATCAGTACCATCCTTGGACAAGAACAAGGAAGGCGGCACTAAACGCGCCATCTCCAAGGAGAGACGCAGAGCAGGGAGTCTGACACGCAGCTCGGCCAACGGGGCCGGCGGTCGCCACGTGGCACCTTGGCCGAGATGTTCTCACGGTGCCCTGCTCCAGAGAACACTCCGGCTGCCACTGCGTGTCCGCAGCCGTGCCGGCACAGGGATCCCATACCCGGGGCAGCCCCCACGGCACTGGAGACTGGTGTCCCGCACGGGCCCCGATGACATGGAACAATACAATTGGCAAGGACAATGTTGCATTTAAAGAGGAAACAAGTATTTCTTGCTCGTGTTATGAGTACACGGCAAACTTACACCGCTGGGTTTTCCCTGCAGAACAGCCTGATAAAACTCAGCCTTGACAAGTGCTGGGACTCAAACAGAGAGAGCACTGATAACTGCACCATGCTGAGAGGTGTCCTCCAAGACCCCTGCACTGCCAGTGGTACTACTGCTCCTGACAAAGCAACAATGGTTTTACCTGTACCCACAGGTCAAAGGTCAAACTGCCAAGAAACATCTGGCTGGTGGAGCTGGAGATACCGACTCCAAATGAATTCTCTGGTACAGAGGGAGAAACAGCTCCTGGCACCAGGCACAGCCAGATGCCTCCTGTGGAGAAGCACACGTTGTGCCCTGGGGCTCTCTTCTGTGACATTTAAAGGAGCACCCGGAGGAACATCCAGAGAAGCCCGAATGGGAGTTACCAGGTCCCTAGTGATACCCAGTCACCACGTCTGTCATGACACAATTTTGATTACTGTCCTGTGTCTTAGGGAATTTTCAACTCTAAAATAAGCACACTGATGAGAAAAAGCAACAACGACAGTATGCAATCCTCCCAAAGCCTCAAAGCACAAAATCACTCAGGTATACTTCTCGTATTTCCTCAATTCCACCGTGTGATCATTATCCCTCTCTGCACACAGAGTCACGCTGCTACAGCCAGGGCACACTCTGCTGCTCCACCTGCAGCTGGTTCATAGAGGCTGCTGGTGGACAAGAGAACTTTCCAGAAACATATGTCCTTAACAACTCCACGTTACTACACTTTAAATTTCTTTAGCAAGAGAGCTGTCATGCTTGGGAAGCTTTCTGAAAACTCTGGGAAGCCAGCCTCCTTCGCGGGCAGCTCAGGAGCATGGCGACAGCACACAAGCAGGTGCACAGACACATTTACAGAGCCACGCTCATGGGGACAGCAGAGTGACGGGCAGCAGCACATACTGGGTGGGAATCACACAAGCCGCAGCGGCAGAAATACTTTCAGGGGGACAGAAGAGCACAGGGAGCTCTGTCACAGCCCCCAGCCTGCACCCGGAGCGCTGAGGAAAGGCTGCCAAGTGCCCTTGCGCATGCCCCATGCCAGCTGATGCTCCGGGCTGGCAGGGCTGGGAGCCACCGCAGCCCTCTCCTGCTGCCAAGCGATCCAGCCGAGGAGGTGGGAGGCCGATAAAAGTGGTGATGTTAAAGCTGCTGATGCACAAGAAGCATCAGCTTTGTCATTACACTACGAAAGGCTAAATTCAGTTATCTGGGGAGTTTTGTAAAAACAATTACAGTATTTAGGCTACAAAGACAAGTAAAGGTTCAGGACTCCCATTGCCTGGACAACCATTGGCAATGGCACAACACCACGGTCTGTAATTATGGGACCACGTTGTGCATAACATGGACCTTAATTCTGTCCCGTGGCTGCCTCACGGGCATCCGTAACCGGTTTGTTTTGCCATGTCAAGTGTTTTCCACTGGGCTCTTTTCGGTATGTTGTTTTACAAGAAAAATCTGATACTAAAAGTTTAAAATTGGTAGAGCATACACTCAGAGAAAGTAACACACTTTCGTCATTCCTAAACATAACAGCCCTGCATTTAATTTTATACTTTTTGCTCCCCCAAAGAACACCAGAGTTGGTGCTCCTGTGCCTTGGGAAAACATTGAGGGGAAGGAGGATAATTAAATACACAGACACGCAGAGCCTTCCTGATCTCATGTGTGACCTTAACCAACATCATCACCACCTGACTTATCCCTACCGAAGCACATATTTGATTGTAAAAAAAATTAAGTGAAGGTGTAAAAGACCTTCAAGGAATCCACTTCTGTGCAAGGGGCAAACCAGAGCTCTTGGTTACTTCGTAACAGAGATCAAAGATTAAATTCAGTGCTCAGGAAGAATGAGGGTGCCGGTGCCAACTTGTGCAGTGCTGAGTGGAACAGGTCATTTCACAACCACCATCAGCAGCCAACAAGCAAAAATTATGGACCAAAAATATTCTGAAGAGAGGCTTCTGGCTAAACAAGAACTAAACTGAGTTGTACATCCAGGCTCTTGAGCCACTCTTCAGAAATCTAGAGCACTGGGGCCGTGATGGCTCCCCCGGCCTGGCACACCCCGTTCCTGCCGCCGCGGTACCCCGAGTGCCCGCAGCGTCAGAGGGCTGCTGAGGACGGACTACACAGTCCATAGCAATTACTGTGGGGCACCATAATTTTAAGGATTGATGACATTTTAGCTGTGTTACTTCCACAGTGACGTCACCTTGTCTGCAAAGCTGACTTCAGACAGACAGCAGCTTCACTGAATCATCCCATTCCTTAAGCGATGGTTACTCGTACGGACTGAATGCGACGGAACAAAACCTGCAGAGGCCGTGTCCTCCCCGCAGCTGAAGCTCTGACCGCATGCTGTGCCAAGGCTCAGAAGGGATTTTTAACCAAGAAATGTATTTTCCAAAAGGAACTCTCAGCACTGACAGTGGTAGGTGAAAGAACAGCCTACACATAACATCCGGAAGCCTCTCCTATCACAGTGGCTACTAACACTGGCTTTACACCCGTAACTATACTCTGAACAGGAAAATACTTCATCACCAGCAACAAACAGTAAATGTTTGTAACTCAGTCCTTGCAAATAAATGTGTTTTTTAAAAAAACTGGTTTCTAAATGCCAGAAAACGCAAAACAAGGCTGTCGCTATTAATCCTCTCAGTTGTTTTTCACCTTGATCTCCTGCATCTTAAAGATCACACTAAGATTACCTGCTCTGAAGAAAAACAAAATATCAGAGGCAGGCTAGTTTTTATAGCCTGAGGAAGAAGACAAAAATGACCAGCACCAGAGCATCATCTCCCCTGCAGCACCGGTAAGTTAATCAGTGAGAGCAATTAAATCAATCCACGATGAAAAAAATCCACCTTAAAGAGCCTGGAGACATCACATGCAGTTCGTGAAGGGACAGAACTGGAGAGAGAAGCAGACGTCCTGGCTGTGACCCTCTTGGATGCTCACATCCACAATGATTCCACAGGACAGGGCAAGAGGGGACAGTACTTTGCTTCAAGAGCAACTCAGTCGTATTTGTTGTCCGAATTGTTATGATTTAGTGTGATCATGCCCTTAAAAAGTCCACCCAAATCATGTATTTCAACTTAAAGCATACTGGCTGGAAACAGTGTATTGTGGGGTAGTGATTTTTTGGTTTGTTTGCTTAAGAAATGGCAGCACGAAAATACGCTTATTTATGACTGAGAAGTCATTTGCATACAACTAGTTTTCCAAGTCGGTTAGCTTTGAATAATTAGATTATTACATACTTGAATAATGGGATTATTAAAACACTGAAGGCTTTTATTTCTGTTTCCCCCACTTAGAGTCAGTTTATTCTGTATATTTCATAACATCTTACAACTAATCAACTTCCTTGTTTGTGTAGGTTGTGTAAAGATCAGAGGGCACCATGCAAAAATATAAACTAATTTTTAAAGCCACTGACAACTGTCACAAAGTTAAACCATACACTGAAACTTAAAAAAGCTGTTATAAATTAACAGCACGCCTTTAATTCTGCATCCTCAAGTACACCATTAGTGAAAACTACTACGACTGGATAAACCATTTTATTTAATGTTAGTATCAAATTTATCAGCAGCTCATAGGACAGGATGCAAGTGAGACCTACTGCAATCTCAGTCAGAAAGTTTTTTAAATGGGAATAGACTCAGGAGGTGTAATGAAAAAGAAACTAACATATTAAAAGAGAATTAATAGTTTCTTTTAGTACAGGTCAGTGAGCATTCTCCCACCACTTCCCTATGCAGATGCTTTGACTTTCTACTAAAGTCAGTCTTTCTGCTAAAGCCAATTTCTTTTGTCAGGAGGAGAGTGAAAAGGAAATTAATATTCAGTTCCCTCAGACTAACACAGTGTCCATGTTACACATGAAAATGAGCCTGATCCTCTTTTTTTCAAAATCACTAATAAAGTTCTGCAGCTTCAATTAAAGGTGAATCAGGACTTAAGTTAGTAAGGTGGCTGTGGGACGTTTTTGAGCAAGGCTACGTTAAACATAACGCCAAATTTATGCTTAGACGTAATGCTATTCTATGGAAAAGTCAAGGTTTGTTTTTTTTCCAGATATCAAATACTCACTTATCAACATTTCATGTTCTCTTTTAATATTGTTCTCTATGATCAGTAACATGGGAATTGCACAAGAATTCAAAGAAAATGTGTTTGTGTCAATTTTTTACATTCCCAAGTTCTGAAGGCTTAATGAAACATAAATAAAAA